AGCATCCCCCTGAGCAGCATCAGCTGCTGATGTGACTCACTGTCAACAGCCTCCAGGACCTTTGTGAATCACAGCTCACGGGCAGGCCCATGCTCAGCTGAGACATGCCAGTAACTGAAGTTATAGCCTCACTGGTTACTGTGTACTTTTAGAAACCCAAATTAGCTTTCCTCAGGGAAACACTATGGTAGTGGGCAAAAGCAGACACCTCTTTCTTGTCATCTTGGGCACAGCTTGATGCTGCTATGAGTGGCTGGCTGTTGATGATGGCAGAGTTTGCAAGAGAGAAGTGATAGGGAGGGAGGGAGCTGGGTGGATGTAGCTGTTTGACTCTTGAGTGCACATGATCTGATCAAAAGTGTTTAGCACCAGGCTCAGCTGGCTCAGAAGAAGGAGTACAAGCTTGGTAGATAGACCCCAGAGTCTGAATTCAGCTTCCATTGCATATTTTGTATTAACTTCTCATTGCCACAGTGTTCTCATCTATAAAATGGGCACAGAGAAGATTTCCTCTTAGATCTGTTGTGAGGATAAAGACACAGAATGCTTGTAATGACAGTCTGGTATATAGCAGACATTCAGCGTTCCTTTCTCTCTAGTTGGTTTCCAGGTTTGTGACTGACAATTCGAATAGACCAGAGAGCAAGTATTTCAGGTTTTGTGGGTCAGGAGGCAAGACTGAGGATATTATGTACATATTTACATTACAGAGAGAAAACTAATTTCTACCAATTTTGAATTGATGAAATCCAAATATAATAACAGGATAGAGGTTCTTTAATATAGACCTACCAGTGAAAAGAAAGGGATTCTTTTTCTGGGGAGACAACATTTGACTTAACTGGGGCTCAAAGTCAGTGCTCCTTATTATCAGATCGATTGCCCATGTTCATCTGTACAAACCATTCTTAACTTGCAGACCAAATACACACAGGCAGCAGGCTGAATTTGGTCCGCACGCCATAGTTTACAGTTTCTTGTTGTAGACTCTCTACAGCTAATGCTGGTCTCTACTTGTGCTCTAACCCAATCATCCATGAGGAGTAAATAATTTGAAATCATAATTGCTAATTAATAAACAATAATTGGAGGGCTACAATCTGGAAAGGAAGATGAAATAATTCAATCTGTAAATAGGCTCTTGGAAGCTGACAAAGTGCTTATTTTATCTGATCCATTTGTGGCTGAAATCAGGAAAACAGTAGGAAGAAATGATCAGGCCACACAAACTGACCACCTACACACAGAGATCAAGCGTGGATCATCACGGAAACAGACACTCTATCAGGTTCTTTCTGCTTCTTATCAAATAAGAAGTGGACATGCCTATTTGTATTCATCCCCACCCCCTCCGTGCAAAGGAGGGTTTAAAATTTGGCAGATAAAATATCAGAGGGTCCCTTCCTGCTTTCCTTCCCCTGACCCGGCTGGCCAGTTGGTGCACGGGTGTGAGTCCACAGCCCACTGAGGCCGACGAGTAGAGACAGTGCTCTACGGGGCTTGTTGTGTTGGTTTCACAACAAAATGGATCCTATTCTACCTACCAAGGCAACCATTAATGGCATAAATGAGGAATTTCGTTGATGATCATGCATTGACATAAAATTAAGTAAAATAGGTCACTAAGCATCAGTTTTGGAGCAAAAAATAATTCAGCATTCGACCCAGAGTTCTGGCATCCACAGTGAGGAAGCACAGCAGGAGGGCTGGTTATGGCCAGTCTGGATCTGACAGCAGTGCTGGCGTGGCTGTGTCAGACGTCTGGGCAAAATGCAAAGCTGTTTAGGGATTCTTTGTACCATTTGCATTCTTTTTTTTTTTTTTTTTTTCACCTGTGCCATGTGGCATACAGGAATCCCTGACCAGGGATCAAACCCATGCCTCCTGCACTGAGAGCGCAGGTGTCTATCACTGGTTAAGAACCACAGGACCCCCAGGGAAGTCCCTGTTTAGGCATTCTTGAGCTTGGGCTTTGGCAGAATTGCTGCTGCATCTCAACAGATTCTGCAGAGAATCACAGATGATAAAATTCTCCAGTCGGACAAGGAAGTCCAGATTTTGATGCACGTGGTTTTATAATCCCAGATTTATATATTTAGTGTGCCGATCATTTGGCAGATTCTCTTGCAGAAAGTTCACCAACAGCATCCTGCATTTGATCAAATTCACCTGGTTAAATTTCCCATAAATGTTCTCACAAAACCAGGGACTAAAAGAATAATACAGGGAGTATTCTTCCTCCAATGGGAACATCCCTTTGTGGAAAGCTAATACATGGTGGAAACTGCTCAGTGGAATAGAGGGGATCAGGGTGGGTGTTAAGGTGAAGCTGCGTGATAAGACAACACTGATAACTAAATTGCCAACAGAGGAACGTCCGTGTTTCTGAGTATGTGAGTGAGTGGTCTGGAAGATCTAGAAGCACGTAGAGCCTGAAAGGACTTCAGTTTATTAGAAAGTATCCAAGTGGGAGAGCTAGCTGCTTACTATCTGTTGAGATAAAGGAATGACACCCCATGGCAACACCTAATTTGAGATTCATTGAGCGCTTGTGAGTATTAACAGTTTGCCATGCCAATGGTGATAAAGCTTTTTTGGGGAAAGGATATTGAACTGAAGATAGTTGAATTTGTAAAGTGCTTACAACTTCTTGTAATTAACTTCTCCTTAGACAAATAGCTATTTTTGAGGCAGAAATATTTTAAAATGTGTTGTTTTAGCTGAAGAACAATCTTTAGCCAAAGGAGCTTTGGTGATGGTTTTAAAAAATATTTCTTCTCTCAGCTGATCCAAATGCATCTTTTCTCCATTTGTGCGTCAAGAGAACACAGAGCAAATGCATTTTATCCGAGTTTATCTAACAGGTTGGAATAAAGTACACAATTCATGTAAGGATAAATGTCAAGAAGAAAAGCTGAAGTATATGTCCAAGCAAAATTTATTAGATGTCTATTCAAGAAAAACACAATGACCTTTGCTTGTAAGAATTTGAAGTCAATTACCTAAAAGCTTGGTATGAATATTTTTCCTTTTAAAATCAGATACAGAGAGTAGAAACATTAATTTTTCTTAAGTATGACAGGCAACAGATATTGAAGTCTTCTCTCATAAATGGCATCAAAGGTAATTATTCATTTATCAGCAAAGCTGCATGCAGTTGACCTAATTTCAAACCCAAAGCCTTTAAAATATAAAGCTGGCTGTGAACTTGACAATAATCAAGGTAGGCTACTCAAAGGTGTTTCTTTACCTTTTTCCTAGTGAAATTCCTCTATAATCAGTGTTTATATACATTTTAGTTTGGCTGCTAAAATCTTATATTCATAAACTTTTGCATAAGTGCTATCTTACAGAATCGCACTGTCGAGTCATAATAATGATTTGTGGGAGATGTAAAGGATGATCTGCTGAAGGTGTTTTAGCTTAGTTTAAATGAAGGATAAAGACCAAATTAGGAAATTCCCCTGTCTTCTCAACAACTAAATAGTCTGTACAAAAAAAAGAGCAAATGTATGTACAAAATTCTAGAGTCTACGTACATTGTGAAAAGATCAATCACTGTCCACAGAAGAAATGCTGTAAAAAGTTTTATCTATAAGGTGCTGAAGATCCAAATATGAATAGTTCTTATGCAAAGTCATAAGAAATACAAAGCTAGTTCTCGGGGTATGCATAATTCAGGCACTGTTAACCACATTAAATCTTTCAGGTCCCAATAACATCTCGTAGGTTTCTATTTCAGGGCAGAAAATATAACCTGAATGATTTAACATTGTCTCTAAAAAGTGCCTAATATATTCTGAGGAAATAGTTTACACACACCAGGAAAATCAGGCTCAACATATTCCTGTCCTCAAATGTAGCCAGGATTCTGAGTTCCAGAGAAGAAAAATAATTATCATAGTAAAAATAATTGTATTGATCATAATCCTTACTAAAACCAGCCTTAATACTTGTGATGCTTCCAAAGTACTCTATTTCTATAAAATAATGTGTGAGATTCTTCTACATTTCCATAAAACGTACAACATAGCATATGGATTGTCTGTTCTCATACAATCTCAGATGTGTATGTGTACACACAGTGAAATCTTACCTATGAATATTGCTTACACATATCTTCAAGTGTCTATGTTAGAATAATTTTTTGCCCCTGTCACTAACACTGCTTTTATTTAACTTTTATCAGATAAATAAAACACTAAGAGCTCATTGTTCATGATGCTGATTATTACATTTTAATATAAAATAGCAATGCAACTTTACAACACAATAGTTATTTTTTTTTGTAATCTAGCTAAACCTCTTATATTCTCATGATTACTACCAAAGGCTCTTATTCACTTACTGTTTGCACTTCTAAAAAGTACAAGAAGAAAACCTGCAGGAAAAGACTCCTATTGGAAACTCACATTCAATTCATCAAAATCACACTCATTCGAATTACTTTCCTACTCTTGCTTTAGATTTTGTAATCACTGTGCATTTTACAACAAATAAGTGCAGGCAAACAATAGTTGAAGTACAGTTGTCATATCGTGTAAACCAGGACACTAGGCAAACTCGTGAAAGGAAAATATACTGCCAAGCTAAGAAGGTGAAAATGCGAACCACAGCACGTAGTAAGAGACAATCTTCTGGTTGCCTGAAGGGAGAACAGCTTCCAAAGTGGACCAGGGAGCCTCCAAGACACTTATTTTTTTGCCTCAACTGCTCAACCCTTATTAAGCATAGGGTTTTCTTTCTGATGCCACACATCCACTATTCCAAGTTTAGAGCAGAAAGCAGGAATATGCACTTTCACATGGAGGCTAATCCGCCCATCTTCCCCAGGGCGTGGCAGTTCAGTTGCTGGTGGTTTGGTGGCAGGTGGAGATGGTGATAGTGGGTGACTTCTGTTGGAAACTGGAAGGCATTACAGCAGGAGGCCTGCGGGATCTCTCAGGCAAGGTTATGCAGATGTGCTGCTGAAATGCGGCATAAATAACCAGGAGAGTGATTCACAGCCTCTTGACATAGTTTCCGGGAAAAGTACCAAAGAATTTGGTTCTTCTAGAGGTTCCTGAAAACAGAAATGATAAATGAAATGGGGCGGGGGGTAACAACCATGAGATTTCAGTTCATCAGTTCAAGTGGGCTTGAAAACTCACTAAGAGAGCAAGCCTTCAGAGTTTGGAAAAGAAGAGAGACTCATTGAAGGGATGGGACAACAAAGTCGGCAGTCTAATCTCTACTGCCCGATGTCTTCATCACTTCTTAAGCTTAAAGGCTGCACTCCCATCAGTTCAGCTGAGTTCAGTTCTGCTGGCCAGTCGTGTCTGACTCTGCGATCCCATGGACTGCAGCACACCAGGCTTCCCTGTCCATCACCAACTCCTGGAGCTTGCTCAAACTCATGTCCATCGAGTCGGTGATGCCATCCAACTGCTCCCATCCCACCAGGCTAAAGAGAAAAGCTCAGCCTCTTGGTCTGAAGGGAGAGACAATCTTGCTGAGGAGTTGGGTTTTTAAGAACAAGGACACTTGAGTATGATGAGGCTCCATCACTGAGGCTGCTAGACAGGAGTGAGGAGCAGAAGAGGAAATGCATGTGGGTACAATCTTCTCAATAAAGATGGGGCTGGCCGTGGGATAGGATGGACTGGAAAAGGCCCACAGCAAGGCTTGGTTCTGTGAGCAGGAGGTCTGTCACGGCTCCTTAGCACAGTGTAACACGAAGGCTTTATCAGGGATGCCATCACTACCCTGTTTTGTTATTTCATAGAAGATCATGCTAAATACCACAGCATTCATTTACAAATAGCCCTGCCAGGGTCCTTCATAAAATGTAGAAAATTTGAACAACTTACTAAGTCACTAAAGAAAAAAAGGCAGACCACCGTTAGCGGGCGAGGGTTCTATCATTGGGGATGTTTCTAATATAAGGAGTAAAACCAAATGCATAAAGGACCATCATGATGATCGCCTTTGGATTCAAATATCATAATTCCTTTGAAGCTTTTGGGAAGAGCAAGTGTATCAAATTCTTCCTTAGATTTTCCAGCTCACATAGAGTGAACACAGTCTCTGTACTTCCCTTTCTCATTTACCCTCTAGAGCTTACTGTTCTGGTTTGATGACTGATCTTCTTTATCCCTGTGCAGGTAAGCCATTTTACTCTTCTCAGTGGGGAATTAATATAAACAGAGGCAGAGGCTTGTGGCTGCTAATGTGGCCTTTGTTCCTTTATTTCCCGGCAGCTGGCCTGTCTACAGAAAGCCTTCATACCTCCAGCAGTTGTATCCTTCATCTTCCTACATCTGTTTCCTTTTCATCTCTTTCCTCTGTGACTTAGTATATGATACTCTTATCTACAAAAATTTTCTCAGAAAACCTCTAGTCTTCTTTCAAGATGGTAAGAATGGGGCTGTTTTGTATGTGGTAAGAATGGAACTTCTCTCTACTTGGACCACATATTGAAGCTAAGGTGGATCAGTGGACTCTTAAGAAAAGCTATGACAAACCTAGACAGTGTATTAAAAAGGAGTTCTAATGAGATGGATGAAACTGGAGCCCATTATACAGAGCGAAGTAAGCCAGAAAGATAAAGACCATTACAGTATACTAACACATATATATGGAATTTAGAAAGATGGTAACGATAACCCTATGTGCAAAACAGAAAAAGAGACTCCTATATATAGAACAGACTTGTGGACTCTGGGAGAAGGCGAGGGTGGGATGTTTCAAGAGAACAGCATTGAAACACGTATATTATCTAGGGTGAAACAGTTCACCAGCCCAGGTTGGGTGCATGAGGCAAGTGCTCGGGCCTGGTCCACTGGGAAGACCCAGAGGGATTGGGTGGAGAGGGAGGTGGGAGGGGGGACCGGGATGGGGAATACATGTTAAAAAAAAAAAGATACACTATGGTTGTGATAAAAAATAAATAAATAAATAAATTAAAAAAAAAAATAAAAAGGAGAGACTTCACTTTGCCAACAAAGGCTCCTCTAGTCAAAGTTAAGGTCTTTCCAGTAGATGTGAGAGTTGGGTGATAAAGAAGGCTGAGTGCCTAAGAATCGATGCTTTTAAACTGTGATGCTAGAGAAGTCTCCTGAAAATCCCTTGGACAACAAGGAGATCAAACCAGTCAATCCTAAAGGAAATCAACCCCAAGTCTTCATCAGAAGGACTGATGCTGAAGCTGAAGCTCCAATACTTTGGCCACCTGATGTGAAGAGCCGACTTATTGGAAAAGACCCTGATGCAGGGAAAGATTGAGGGCAGGAGGAGAAGGGGACGACAGAGGATGAGATGGTTGGATGGCATCATTGACTCAGTGACATGAGTTTGAGCGAGCTCTGGGAGATAGTGGAGGACAGGGAAGCCTGGCGTGCTATAGTCCACGGGGTCGCAAAGAGTCGAACGTTACTGAGTGACTGAACAACAACCAAGGGCACCTCCAGCAGACCTAGTCATGCGTGAGTTGTTCATTTCATCTGTTTTCTCAGAGTAGACCCTCACTGCTGATGACCAGCATTCTCTGCTGAGTAGAACATTCATGTTTCTCGTCTAAGGGACAGCTCATTGTTGTTCTCAGATCTCAGCCTTTACTTGTTGGTGCTATTTAGAGAAAATTTCTTCTTTCAGTTGACTTGGAAATAAAACCAGCAGGAAACCACATATACCTGAAGCAGTAATACTAAACTCTATTCAAAATGCAGTTGCCCTAGGATTACATTAATGCATATGGATGTATGAAAGATCAAAGGCATTAGGAAATCCAAGAAAGCTTGACTATCACCTCCAACCATGCACGGGAGCAAACATAAGCAAATTATAAAATGGCCAAATGCCTGAAAGGAAATGTACACATACCCACAAACCATCCATCATCACATTTTTCCATCACATCAATGACATCACTTTCTCTGAGCTCCAGTTCATCTTCATTCCTAGGAGTATAGTTATACAGAGCCTGAAACCTTAAACAAGACAAATGCACGTGTTAAAAATTTTTTTTGCACCTCTATGAAACTACCAAAAGAATATAATATTTATTTTACTTTGAACCTATCCTTGACATGTTAATTAGGTAGTATAAGTCCTTGGTAAGGTTGTAAAGTAAGTAGAGGTAGTTAAGCTTTCATGAGAATTAGACCACGCTAACAGCATCTCAGAACTCACAATGAGGAAAATTTATGGAAGATTCTAATATCCATGAGTTGTATTAAAACATTTTAACGTTTATAAATTTGACCTGCACTTCAATTGTACAATCATAGATAGCGATCATTTGGACATTAAATAATAATACAGAATATAAGAGAAGTGGTATGTGTACTTTTCAGCTACATAAAACAAGAAGGAATTATAGTTTTAACTAGTCATATTCAGAAACAAGGAACTGCAACTTGCAAGTGGATTTTTCAAATGATTCTAAATTGAGATGTACAAAATGTCTCAGGTAAAGCTTTTATATTGCTATGTGGAAATTACTATAAAAGAGAAGTTTATTTATTTATTTTTTACTGGGAGGAAGTCTTTAAAATAGTTTAATTTCATAGTTTGCATCAGTGTAAGTGGTTGTCTCAGGCAGTAGATTTAGAGACATAAGTTCTTTTTTAAAACGGGTCCTGGAAAAGTTGTTCTTAATGTAAAAACTCTCTCTTGAAATAACTGTATGTAAAAGTATTACTGATAGAATGCTGCCACTTTTCTTTCTTTCTTTGAATTCTTTGAGAGCATATATTTTGGTGGCATCAATCAGTAATAAACTCAGAGAATTTTGGGTAATAAAATAGCATGCATACTAATATGGACTGGCATTTTGGAAGGATACCAATTCTAGCAGTTTAGAGGGTCAGGATGCATTTGATATGCAGTTAACATGAAAATGTCATATTACTACTAAAATAATACCAGTACTGTGAGGGGGATTTTTTTTTAAATGAATTTGTTTCTGCTGTTCTTCTTAACAGTTAATGTAATTTTGCCAAAGTAGGAAATAAAAATCACATTTCATGGCACTTTGGATTTTTTCAAGGTAACTTTAAAAGGTTGATAATGGATATTGCTCAGGAACCAGAATGATTTATTTTGATTACTTTAGTCAAGAGAATCATCCTTTGGTAGAACAAAACTATTCTCTCACCTGAACTCAAATGTCATGTGACAAATCAGAGACAGGCTGTCTTGGCTTCCCTAAACTTTTTCCGATTGGGGAAGGAGTGAGTCTGGATAAAGCTGGACTGGGGGAGGGTGTACTGGGGAAAGACCTGATAAGATGTGGTGTCTAACAGCCTCACCTAGAAAACATTATCTTCTCTAGCCTGAGAGCAAAGCCTGAAATTCCAGTGTTAGAGATTTCTTCCCCTGTTAACATTTTTTTCTCCAGGTAAACCTTATTAGCCACTTGGGGTTTTGAGGTCTTCTATGGAGAAAGGATTCTGGTTGTGGGGAAGGGCTAAGAAAGATAGCCTAAATCCTAGAGCAATGGCAAAATAGACAGGGAGGTCTTGAGTACCAACATTCCTTAATTTGGATGTTTGCATGGGGTGAACCCTGATTGGAGGAGTCAGATTATTTTGTTGTTCGATTTGAAGATGCTCAGGTGAAAGAATGGTATCTTTTGTCCATCCCTGGGGGAAGTTGGTTTCACTGCCATTCCTTTTCCGGTCTCACATTTGAGAGAGAGAGGCATTCCTGGGCTGCTAAATCTATAGCTATACATTGCATCTCTCACTTTGGGAAATGCTAGATCTCTAAGCTCTTCAGCCTTCAGCCTTCACCCAGGCCCATCTCCAACCACTCTCAGAAATAGGCCTATTTAAGGCCATAAATCCCAGCTGCTTGAAGAATCTCAAGGTCCCAAGAGCGAAAAAAAAAAAAAGAACTGGCACGAACTCCTACTTCACTTTAACATGATGAAAACCAGTGTGCTTGTCAAAGTTTACTTACCATTCTGGTTTAATTAGACCACCAAAAAAAAAAAAAAAAAGAAAATTGGAAGTTTCATGGAAACATAAACAAACCTTTCAGAAATCCTCCTGCCTCTGTTGGCTTTCAAAATCAGTGTTGCATGACAGGAAATGTAGTCAAATTACAATTTTAAAAAAATGCTATTTTGAAGGATGTGTTGGTGAGATGAATGATGGTGGTGGGGTTAGGATGCCTCAAAAAGAAATTTGTCTTTAAAACAGGAAATGGTCGGCCAATCATGAAACTCTGTCTATAACTTGCAGCTTTTTCTGTAACATATTTTACCATACTTCTGAATTGGACTGACATGATAACATTTTGTTCCTATTTTCAATCAAAACCTATTTCTTAAATGAGAGAGATTAAGTGATACCCTGCAGTCCATGGGGTTGCAAACAGTCGAACACCACTGAGTGACTGAACAACAACCTATCCTTGGCATTGTAATCAAATAGAAACTTATGTTCACAGCAGGGCACTGAAAATGTGCCTCCCACCTGTGAGCTCATAAACACGTGTGAGTATTAACTCCATATGACATGAAAATGTAACATCACCTATATCCTAATTCCTAAGTTGATTAAAAGTTGCTAATACAATGCATTGATGATGCAGTGCAGTAAGCTAATCAGTCTTGGATTTATTCTCTGTGATTCATCTCATAGTCAACTGTGTAAAAAAGAACACGAAGTCAACCTTTAGAATTATGAGTTATAAACTTTTTTTCCAAACTAAATGAAATTTTAAATGATCTGTTCCTCCAAACCTCTTCATTAACAAAAATTTCTTTCTAGCTGTACCCAGTGATGGGTTAGAGATGGTTTCTGAGGCCTGAGCTTTTCGCTAAGCACCAGATATGTGAGCAGTGAGGAGGGCGTGATGGCTGGGAGGTCACGAGGCTCTGCTGGTTTGCTGTGCTCCAGCCTGGCCTGCTGAAGTCCATGGGGTCACAGAGTCGGACTGGGCAACTGAAATGAATTGAGGGGAATGGAGCTTGGCCAGCCGGCAGGGGCCGCACTGTGTGTCCTCAGGTCAGCCCGACAAGGTTTAGTAATGCTCCTTCCCAGGGGGCTCACTCCTGACTCAGAGAGGCAACAGTCAACAGGAAGTGGATAACCTCTGAATGTCTCTCTTGGGCAAAATGGAGCAGAAAGGCAACCTTAAGGGCAGCATGTGACACCTTCAGGGTGGATTTGACTTAGTATCAGAAAGGAGGTGGGGATTTGAAAGAAAGTGTGAACAGGCATTTTCCTGGTCCTCTGGGTAGTAAACATCACATAACTGACAATGCATGACATTTCCAACATTCTGGAACTTTGTAATTATGTCACTAACTTATCACTGTAGGTCTACTTTGACATCCTCTTGCTTTTCAAATATGTGTAAAAACAATGTTAGAACATTTTCAGTGTCTTAAGGCTGCAGTTACTAGAATCTACATGCTGAGTAGCACAAGGAGAGAGACAGATTCATAAATCTTAGGAATCACTGCAGCATTAGAAGGTTTTCCTAGTGCCTAAATCAATCTTTGCAAAATCATGGATTTTTTTCAAAAGTAGCTTCTGTCCTCTGTTGTGAAAGATGGAAGTTATTGCAATTACTCTTAATCTGGGAGGTCTTATCTCATGTTAGTTACTCTGGTCTCTTTCATGTGCAAAGTTGTACCATCCTCGCTTATGGTACATGGGTGGTCCATTATGCGGGTCAAGGTTAGTCTCAAATTTAGAAGATAAGAAGAATACTTACGGTTCCCCCCCACCTTGAATGTTTTCATGAGTAAACACAGGACGCTGTGGCTGAAATGAAATGATTTTCAATGTAATCAATGCTTAAACTGGTACTAATTAAAAGATAATTTGGATAATGGCATGGCACTTTTCTTGACATTTAATATTTCCTGTTGTAAAAAACCAAGAGGAAGAAAAGAAAAACCAAATAAAGGGTTTCTATAGGATTCATAATTAAAATATTTTGAAGGGTGCTTTAAATTAAGTAGAAATAACCAAAGTTCAAATGTTTGAACATATCTGCAATCTTGTCTGCTCAAGCTTTAAGGAAGACTCAGGGCTCAGTCCCATTGATTTTTCAAAGGCCAGGAACATGGCAAGAACATAGACACCAAATAACTAGACTGGGGAGTCTGGACATCTTCATTCAACCTTATTCTTCAGCGTTTTCTCAAACAAGCAAAAAATAAACCACATGTAGTCTTAACAGCAAAGTATCCACATTCATTCTAATATACTTTTCCTTCACAGACAACATTTTCACATACAGTACAGAGGAACATGTCAAGAGGCAGACATGCCATGCTACATTTGAATTAACACTCTCTGTTCTCAATGTGGAGGAAACACATGCATTTTTAAAAACAGAAAACAGAGAGTTTTAAATTGCATGTAACAAACAATATCCAGGTAACACGTAACATTTTACCTGAGAAGAGAAATACTGGTAGAAATTCCCAGTGCACTGAACTCTCAAAAGAGTTTCTTTTCTTTTTAAACTAAGCATCAAGACCAGTATCTGTAATAGATACTTATAATATTGGAAATGACAAGCCTTTGAATCCCATATATCCACATAAATACTTCAATGAATGAAAGTTAACATGTTTCTTGAATATGTAAACTCAATGTCATTTATACCAGCTGTCTAAATGTTACCTTTTGCGGGGGGAATGCATTACAGTTCATTCACAACACACTTCAAAACCATTCTCTTATAAATGATGGCTACATGGTAAAAATGAGATAAATCAGAATCTGAATGACAAATTGCATGGCAATTATAAAAGTGATTCCTTATTGATGACTAGATTTTAGATCCCTGACATTAGACTTCAGGGTCAGTTCCTGGATCCCAGAGTTATAAATGGATAACTGAGAGACTGGGAATTCCCCCCTGCAAACTGTCCATCAAACCTCCACTGGTTCAAGAATGGAGGGTGACTTTGGGGTTTCTTTCAGTCTAAGAGTCTATAAGCTGCTCCCTTCCTGCATTCTTTATCCATTTATTCCTTCCCATCCAAGCTGTCTGTCTAGCATAGAAGACTAGGTGCTTGTTACTATACTACTAAAACTTCAAGCTTTCAATTAATAGTAATTGGAAACTACTATTTACCAGCGGTATTCTTAGAAATTTCACTCAACAGTCTATGCATGGAATATATAAGTGTAAGATTAAAGAGTGGATAAAAATTGTTGGACACATGTATGGCTTAAGAGTATAATACTTAGCCTGTACATAGATATAAAATAACTAACAATGTATTTATTATTAAAATTATAAAATATACTATTTTAAGATTGATTAAGACTAAATCAATTTAATTAAACGAAGAGGTAAAGTTAAGTCATTCTTAAGCCTACATTTCTTCAAGTTTTCGTTCAGTCATATATATATGATATACTAATATATATCATATATATATATAATTTTATGCAGAAGTAAGATTTGTATTTATCAATTGCTATTTATGTTTTGTAATAATTTCCAGTCTCATTTTCTCAGTCTTCTTTTTCATTTTAAATCACTGCAGAATAATGTTCCCTCACATAGGTTGATTTTGATTGTTTTAGTCATCTCTCTCTCTTTTTTGCTTTTGAAATTAAGATTGGTCTTGTCTTTTTCACTATCATATATATCAAAGCTATAAACATTTTTATACAAAGAGATATTTTCTTCTTTTGAGCTATTCCTTAGAACACATTTCCAGGAGTAAGATTTCAGGCCAAAGATTATGCATTCAAGTCACATGATATTGAAAATGTTTGTATTAGTTACTCAAAAATACTACATTTAAAAATGTAACTTAAAAACACCTAAAATGCCATATTTCAAAATTCATACCAAGATAGCTGCTAATTTGCACACACACACAAAATCATAGCGCCATTTGCAGTGCATAACAAAGTTATAATTAAGAAAATGTTCTTGCTTTAAGAGAAAATGTTTTGTAAAATATATTTCATTGTGCTCTAAAAATGTCATGCCTATTTTCACACTTTTAAACCATTCTAATAGTGTTGAGTTGAGTAAAAGTTTCACTTCTACATCATGGCATCAGTGCTTGGTAAAACTGGTTGGTCTAATTTCATTGCTCCCTATGTAAAAATGTGAATACAACTTTAAAATCATATTGTTAATATAAAAAAATCTACTTATTAAAACCCATATAGCACTTTTCCATTATTGTCATTATAGTTCTATTAGTTTAATTTCTTTAATTCAACTCATCTCCTAAATCATTTAAATGAACCATCTCTTTGCTAATTATGAAAGTCAGGCTTTTGCAAGAACCAAGCGGCTACCTTAATTCCAGAGGCCTCTATGTCTTAATAATTCATGTTCCTGGGTGTGTCAGCCAGTAATATCCTTGTTTTTTAACCAATCTTTCCCAATACTTCCTTCATATCCTTGAAAGGACCCACCCCCACTTTTTTTTTTTTCTTCCTGAACCACTGGTTTTCTATACTGTTCACATACTCAGGCCAGGATTTATCATGGCTTTTATTAGCAGAGAAGTTGTGTATCTATTATAACAGAGTTTTAGAACTTTTCTGAGGTTACTTTTGATAGGACTCCTCTCCATGTGAATGTGGATACCTGGGAACCAGTTTGGAGGAAAGATGACCAGTTACAGCAACTGAAATAATTTATTTTAAAAGTATTTGGTCAACAGAGGAGTAAGCAGTATAGATACTTGTGAGGGCACACTTGTGTCTTTCTGGCGTTGGCAGTGACTGACTGTGTGATCTTTGATACACACCTCAGTTTCCTTATTGCTGAAATCAAGGAGTCAGACACGATGATGGTTTAGGTCATGTCTCCCTTGGGGAATCCATAAAGGAATCCACATTTCCACAGATGTCTTTCCCTTGTTACCCATTCAGTTGTCAGAGAGCCGTGACAACTGACGTTGGTTAATTTCCAAGTGTCTCCGTCACATAAAAGCAATTAATTTTAAATCAATAATAAAACTTCATTTTTCAGATCAGTAAACCCAAGCCCAAAGAAACTTTCTTAATACCACAAACAGGTAAGAAGAAGGATCTGAATTATAATTTTGACTGTCTATATTGGATTAAAGATGACTATGATGGAATAGATAGTGTGGGCTTATTAAAGTCACATCTTGATTTCTTCCTTTAGGCAAGTGTTTATGTACTGTGTGGATACTCAACTGAACTGTTGTGGGAGGCTCTTTTGCTTTTCTCCTCCTGGTATTGAAACTGGGCGCAAAGCTTGAGGCAAAGACCTGTGTCTGCACTCTATTGCCGCCTAATGGTGAATAATGGCAGCAACATGTTAAAAAGTGTTCATGCCTTTGGACACTCTCGCCAAGTTTCCTTCAGCCTGGAGTCATTTTGAAAGGCTATTTTAAAGACCACAGAGCGATGTGGAATCAATATTCATCTGTGTTTCTGACCTGTCTCAGATTTTAAATTCTGGGAAAGGATCAGCCTTTAGCCACCAGTATTTTTGGCCTGTGTTCATTTGCATTTTCACTATCTGCTCAGGCATTTCTATTACTCATAACTTCTTAGCAGTTTTGTGATAAATATAGAACCAGATACATTAGTGACATTCAAGAAGCTCATATGAGCTGCGAGTTTTAAAGGATAGTTTTGTTAAAGGAAGTAAACAGATGACAGTGTGCTGGAAATCTTAAGTGAGAATTATGTCGTATTTATATTTCCTTAATGAGTCTCAAGAGCACAATAAAAATTATAAAATTCAATGAAACGTGATATTTTTGTAGAATCCTAAATATTAGCTTTTTCCTTGACAATGTAGCAATCTTTTTTTTCTCTCCTAGTGTAGCTATTTTTTTAGGGATGTCAAAAGCAGATACAAGAGAGACAGGTTTTAAACACATGCTAATTTCAAAGCCAGAACCAACTACAAACCACTGCTCATAAGAAAGCTGGTTTGAAATATCCTAGAATCTCTGGTATCAGTAAAATACATACTTTTTTAGTTCAGATAATAAGTTTGTCCTAAAATTAGATAATTCTTACATAAATATTGACCATTACTTTAAATACTAATGTGGAAAAATCTTGGAAAGAGCTAAAAGCTGTCCTAGAGTTCTTTTTTTCCCCCCAGAAAATGTTAGATATGGTACTTTCCAAGCAGAATTAGATGAAATTCTCTTAATAACAGTACCATGTTTATGTTTATAGATGTATTTTTCTTTCTGACATTATGCAATTATTTTAATATTTAAATTATTTTTAAATTGCAAAAACACAATTTTTCATAAATCTAAAGAATATTTGTGTTTCATACAAACATGTAGAACATATAAGCACATAATGTAAAAATCTGGCAAAGAAAAAACTTAAGGTGACCCAAAGCATACCATCTCACTGACCCAAGGAGGTTTATGGATGGGCCGTATTAATTTTGGAAAATGCTTTCTTTTTGTTTTGGCTCTGGAAAGCCCTTCCATGAGACCTTTTTCCTAGTCAACATTCCTCATTCTCTATGGCAACAACAAATCTCTGCCTCAGAAGCAAAATCAGGACTTATGCAAAGCAAAAAAGCATAAAAATGTCCTAAACACAGAGAAGTATCTATATTTCTAAAAAACAGAAAAGGAAATCTTTGCCATTGAGCCCTTAAAAGCCAGCAGAACCACAACTTCATCATGTGATGAAACATGTGAGATTGAACCAGCATCCATCAAAAGAGAAATGGGAAAGGACTGACTTATGCAGAGATGAAAATTCTCAAACTCCTCCTCTGACATTCTCAGAACTGATGGTACCAGTTAGAATCAATTTATTTT